GCTTGTTTTAAAAAAGTTATAACACTTTAAAGTTTTATTAATAGATGTTGGATGTCTCTTGCTGTCCCACACTGTATAAACAGAGTATGTCAAACATTATTACAGCAATTTGAAAGTATGTATACATTAGCAATGTTATTTTTTATAAAATCTATATAGCTCTATCAAGTTATATAAATGTTATATAAAATTTTTATTTAGATTTAAAAACCCAATGCAAATTTACATAGTTAGAATTTTTACGTATAACTTAATATAATATTTATATAAATTTTATTTATTATTCATATAGATATAAAAGTTATATAAATTCTATTTATATCTACATAAAAATAAATTAATTTACTTTGACTATTTCTCAAAAATAACTAAGGTAATCAGTGTTTGATATGCTAAATAAAAATATTCAGCAGGCCAGAAACACTCCCCAAACCCCTAATTTAAGCTTTAAAAGCTATTTCTGGCATTAATATTTAAGTTGAAATTTTTTCAAAATTTTGTATAACTTTACATAGATACGTATATATATAAATTTATATAAATAGCTATGTAAATCTACATTGGGTTCATAAATCTACATAAAATTCTACATACTCTACATAAAAACTCTATGTACTGTAACTTTATATAAAAACAACTTCGTGATGTAGTTAATGAATAAATTGAAATTTCTTTTAATGGTTAGGTAGAGAGTGTATTACTATTATTCTTATATAGGGCACAGCATACTATGTGAAATATTTGCTTAAATAATCTTTTAAAACTGTACAATACTTTTCCCAATACTTATTATTTAATTAAAAACTTTGTGTTATTGTTATTCTATTGTTATTCTGAACTGTAAAAAATTTTTTGAAAACATGAAAAATCATATAATAGTTCTATAATATGAAGAAACAAAAGTAAAAAGAACACATTTCCTTTTATTAAAATTTAAAACTTTTGCTATTGTAATAAGCATTTAAATTTTTTAGTTGGCGCTAATTACTTTGCTAATTAAAAGTTAATATACCACCATCAGACACACATTCAAAGGATGCTTGCTTATACATGCTTATGATGATATTTGATACATAATAAATTATTATTTTCTAACCAATAGACTATACTTTTTATTAAAAGTCAGCGAATATATTCTATTAAAAGTCAGCACTATATTTTAAACCAAGAATTCGGTATCCAAACACTGAACCTAATTTAGGTTCAATTCTGGTTATTTAACCTAAAATTTGGGTCAAGTGAACCGGAACCAGACATTCCTAAATTTCAGTAGAGTAATGCTTGAAGGCTTCCACTTCTCTTCAGTAAATAAATCTAAAATAATCATATATATGAGCTTATTAATTCTTGAGTAGCTAAATTATTTTGAAAAAAACTTTTTTTGACGATAATTAAAAATACTTTTTCATGTTAACAGATAAAACTTTATAATAAAATAACGGTAATTGAAAAAAAGGATTTAATAAAATTGCTCGATAAAAGAGGGTCTTTTGTATTTTGATATTTCAACGGTCGAATTAATTCGTCAAGAATTCACTAACAGTCATAACAAATTCACGACCAATTCAACACTGCAAAAATAGTTTCGTCAAGCATAATTAAAAAAAGACATTTTTTTTTATCGTCATCTTAAGTCGCATCTGGATTTTCATCTAAACGAAGAATTTCACGATTAAACATGTACGCATTAAATTGGATATAATCCAGTTCCGCATGTATATACGACTTTAAGCATCCAACCGATATATAAGCAGGGAAGGTGATTTTCTGTGATTCATAGAAACTGCAGAATTCCCTTTAGTGGCATAGATTAGATAGGGTCAGAGAACTTGTAAAGCGATTTCCAAAAAAATTCCGCATTTCGCTGTACACCGATCAATGCTATTACGTTATTGAAAGAATTTTTATAATTCGATGATGCTTTGTAATTAAGTAAATATTGGAATAATAAAAAAATTTCTTTTTCTTATCTAAGTAACCATGATAATGAAAAAAAATTTATTATTCTAATATTTACTTAATTACAAAGCGTCATAGAATAATAAAAATTCTTCGATAACGTAATAGAATTAATCGGAGTACAGCGAAACTTGGAAATTTTTTGGAAAGTCGCTGTATGAGTTAGGGTAAGAGTAGTATTTTAGTTAGTATTAATTGCTTATTGTTGCGACCTTTATCCTGACGCATATTAGCATCGGACTAGTCCCGTCTTTACATCTTCCTGGCAGTTATTTGCACACATTTCTGGGTGCAACTACGATAGTACATTGCGGCGAATTTATAAAATACCTAAAATTTGAAAATTTTGACTACTAATATGTAAGTATAGATTTTGGCTGAGATAATCAATACTTCCCCAGTTAGAGTGCGTCGTTACAATAAATTTATATGTCTAACAAAAGTGGGGAAGATGGGTTAAACGCGTTATCGATCTAGATTTGAGATTCGAAAAATTTATCAGGGTTTGGTATTAATTTATTAATGTGTAATTTGGTAACAAAGTTTAATTTTGGGACAAATACTCGGATTTGGTGACCAAATTTTAGCTAAATTTCATAAATTCGCCGTGATGATATTCTTACTAATTAGATGCGAAATAAACATAGCAAATAAAAATATCCTTCTACACGTACAAACCATAGTGTATTGTATTTGAAATAAACATGCCCAATAAAAGTTGTTATGGAAAATAACATATTGAGAACTTTATTTTATAAATAAAGTTCGTTTGCTTAATAAAAGACCATGTTTTATATGTAAACAGTAATACGACTATTCGCAAAAAAAAATAATTTATTTTCATAATATTAATCTCGTTAATCTGAGAATTGTAGCCCTTTAAGTAATATTATATTTTATAATTTGAAGAATAACAAAAAAACAATTTATTATAAGTTCGATGATAATATAAATAAGTCATTTGAAAGCTCAACTTTAATATAAACGTTTTATGACTAGTAGATAAGTGAAACAGATTATTTGCCGAATGACTTTTTTTAAAAAAAAATTAATTGTATATCTTTACATTTGAAGAAGTTTGAAGTTCCAATATATGCATTCCTAAACGAAGCACTGATTTTGATCGCATATACAATATTTCAACCTATCAAATGACAATACGTTACCAAATGAATGTTAATTGATTTCAATCCAGACAAGTCATTATTGGTATGAAGATTAATTTTCCACTGACAAAATGGAGTTGGGACAAAATAAATCTTTTCATCATTATTATATTTGTTGTCATGATCTATATACTTTTCAGAATTATCGAATTCTACAGATGAATTTAACGATGAATTTACTCTGTATTTAAATTCATTAGTTGGAATAGGTTCAGACCTAAAATGATGTTCTTGATTTTTTTTATCTCTGTTCGACAAAGTGCCTGTATTACTAATATAGAGACTGATTGTCTCATTTTCTGATCCAACCCCTTCTAAATATACTCTAAGAGAGTGAAGGTTTATGTGTGAATAACTCCACAATTCCTTACAATTCAATGGAATTTCTATTATAACAGATCGATTATTTTTAAATTCTTCAATATATTTTTCTTCATCAAATTTAATTAAAGACCGATTAAGATTAGGGCTACATCCAAATTTTACATATGCACTCTCTAGTTCATCTCTAATTTTATTCATATCTTCTTCCAGTTTTTGAAATGTTTTAATGACTGAAGGCTTTATTTCTGACTTTGTAAGTGACCAATATTCGTAGGCACATAGATAATCTTCCATGTATATCATCATCCAAAATTTAATATTGATAAGATGTTCGATTAATTGGAATTTAATCTCATCATAATTTTTTGATTCGTGTTTTTTAATCATTAGTTCAACTCGTTCTTTTTTTCCTTTTGACAATTTTGCTTGCAATCTAGTTCGTAAAAATTCCTCAGAACTTTCAATTTCTTCAATCTTAGCTTTAATGTATGCATCAATAAATATAAAAAAATTCTCCAATGAATTTAAATATTTTTCGGCACCTTCAATATTTTGTTTGATTGGCTAGTAATAATAAAAGATTTTAAATCAATAATCACCATTGTTATTTAATTAAATTATAGAGTGTATAATAAATATTTACAAACTCAAGCAATTTCATCGTTCGACGCCTAGTTAATTCCCATTCGGTGCTTAACAAGATTCCTTTTTGATCATTAACTTCAAGCCTAACAGAGATGATAGTGAATTATATTAATTATGATTGTTAATTTAGCTAATTTAGCTAATTTAGTTAATTTAGACAATTTAACATACCTTTCTGCAAGACTATTAATATCTAAGTTTTCTATTATTCCATGCCCTTCCTTCGCATTACTATCTAGTTTATTAGCATTATCAATATCACTTTTCAGTTTTTTATCAATTTCTTGAATTTTATTGACTTTGTTATCTAAGTCCTTAAGTTTGTCAAAATTTTCTTTCACATCAGTATCGGTAGTTATCTTGTACAACTCTTCAATTTTTTCTATATCAATACTAGTTAATGCTTCCTGAACTGAATTGGTCACTTTTTTTATGGTTTCAACAAAGCTGATTATGCCACCAGGTTGAACAACAATTTTGGCAACACTTAAAGATAAATCTACAGCAGCAATAACCAATTTTTTTTGTGCTTCAATTTTTTGTTCTTCCTTCCAATTTTCAATTCCTTTTTCAAGTTCATTAAAAGCGCTTTTTACATTTTCTCGTCTTCTCTATTATTTAAATAAAATAAAGATTAATACTTGATTATTTTTGGAAATTATCCATTTCTATACACACATGAGTACATACTTGAAGCTCAATTTCTATTTTTTCCATTAATTCACATGCTGAATTATAACGAGTTTTTCTTTTTTCATTTAAATCTTCATACATTTTGGCCTTATCACTACTATCCATTAAGGATACATATAACGATTCTGTTTTTTGTTCATCATCATTTAGGACCTGTGCAAATTTTTCTTCATAATCTTTTGCAAATTTCATATATTCATCAATTCGCTCTTTATAAATACGTTTGTCAAACGGCGGAACAAATTGAATATTATTTTCTGTTCTTTTATCTATGGTATTAAGCTTCGTTAATATTGTTAATGCATTATAATATAATTCTTTAATCTCTTCAAGTTCAGATTTTCTCGTTATTCTAACAATCCAAGAGAGGATTGATCGTGTAATTCCAGGATTATCATAAAATAAGGCAATTGCAATATTTAAAGAGTATTTTAACATTTTAAAGAATGAATTATTTTTAAGAATAATATTATCAAAGGTATGTTTATCCTTATATTCTGGGGTTTTGTCATTGTATATATTAAGTAGCTTGCCAACATTTTTTTGATCTTTGATTTCGAATTTATATGAACTATTATTTGCGATAATTTCAAGTTCAGACGTCATTTCTATAGAATATATTACTATTCGAAAGAATTTTTTGTAATTAACAATTATTTTGCATTTCGGTTCAATTTCAATTCGTCTTGCTACTATCAAAATAGCACCACTGTCATTCAAAAGTGGAAATTCCAAAGTATTTGAAAGTTTAACTACATCAGCGTAAATCCGGAAGATTCGAGTTTCAGATTTTATATCGAGATTTGAAAAATATTTGTAAAGGTCAACGAAAAAGTCACAACCAGAAATCTTTATGGAAAAAAAATTTAAAATAAGAATAATATTATGTTGCAAAATATAACCAAATAATTTATGTGTATGTATAATAACAACGTAATGAATCCAAATAAACTTTTATTGTTTACTATGATTTAATTATAAACTTTTAATATAATTGAATACCTCTATATCTCCTATATTCGTCAACAGTAATTCTGGTTTTAGCTTTGGCATATTAAAAAATCTTAAAACATTATCATACATTTCCTTATAGTTGTTCGGTTGAGACATGACTTTCTTAAATGTGATTTTACTTATACGTGCCAGGCCTGATTAAAATTACACCAGACTAAAATTAAGCCTTGAAATTAAATACGTATCTTAAATGCTTTAGTAATTTAGGTTAGTGTAACTTCAGGTGCTTTGTACTGTACAACGTACGTACGTCCGGTGCATCTTGCTCAGGTGGCAATTTTAGACAAATGTAACTTCAGGCAAGTGTTAACATCAGGCACAACAATAATTTAATTGGAATTCCCCATAAATGTGAATTCCCCTGACAAATGCACTTATGGAGAGTTATTGTATTCAGGTGGGTCACCCAGTGATAAAATTTATGCCAAGTCTAATCTATATGTATAATCAAGTGGCACGTATGTACGTTGTGATGGGCAACTCGGCGCAGCACTGTCCGAAATTGGGCTGTGCTATT